GGAAAGAGAGAAAACCGAGAGGGAGGGAGAGAAAACGTGAGGGAGCGAGAGAGAGTTAGCATGAGGGAGAGAAGGAAAGAGAGAGCAACGTGCAAAAGAAAGAGAGTATGAAGAAAAGAAAAAAGAAAGAAAGAGTGGGCTTGAGCTTGCTGTGTAAATTTGATGATTAGACTTTAAAGTCTAATTTAAACAGAATATGGAATAGCTCACTATTCTCGTTCTGAAAAATTTGCTACCAACACTTAAAATTAATTAAGGGAAGCGTTAATTTTAAAAATAAGTATTTTAAAAGAAAAAAATTTTTATGTGATAATTATAATAGAAAACTTTCTACTAATTTTAAATTAATTAATACTAACAGCCGGATTAAATTAATTAATCTTAATTAATTTGACCGAGTGCTATAATAACAAAGGATTTTGAAAAATTATGAGTTACATTAAAATATGGGACAGGAGGGAATCAATAAAATAATCCAAACAAAAAAGAGTTTATAATGAATGCAAAGAATAAAAATCTAACTGCAACACGAGTCACGAGACGGTCAGGGACCAATTACGCAAAGACCCATTTATGTTTTCCCCCCGCAGTTTTCCTGTCTTTCTAGTTTCCGCTAATACGAGCTAAAAAAACAAAATCCACTGCAAGAAGGTTTTAGCGATCTCTCATTTTCAGACAGCAATGTCCGTTTTGATAAATCCGTGAATTCTGAGAGAAACCCAGTTGAGGATTTGCGAAAATGGGTGGTGGGATTTCTCTGCGTTCGGCTTTCTATTCGGGAACTGGTCGGACCATATTGTTTCTCTTGCTACTCATGGCTGCCTCCTTCTTCGCCGGCACTCTCTTCGGAAATCAAGCCCCCATTTACGTTTCTCAGCTTACCTCCGACAATAACAATAATAATTCTTCTTCTTCTCTTGGTATGCTCTCTCTCTCTCTCTCTCTCTCTCTTCTCTAAGCCCACAGTGATTTGGTTGATTATACTGAATTATGCAGTTTTGATTTGGTTTATTTGCATTTTATATCGTTTGAGCTAATTTGGATTTCAATTATTTTTTTTTTTTGGACTAATTGGGAGCTAAATTTTCTTTATTGTTTTGTGGATCTTGCCCAAGCTTTAATAATGGATGTTTATAAGAACATTCTTTAGTATAACACAATTTGACAGATTAAAAAAATTGGAGTTTTTGAGTTAGAGAATGACACCTCTTTCCCATTGTTCTTGCGTTCTTGGTGATCACCTCGGTTTTCGTGGTCATTGTTTAAGCTTCTTTTTTTTTTTTTTTTTTTGCTCATGTTTAGTTATTTGTTTTACTGTATTTTGAAGTATGGTTATTTCCAAAAAGGACGATCTTGTGAGAAGTCAGTTTTCTTTTTTAGGTAGTTTGCACTTAATATTTGCGAATTACGATAATGCTTTTCAGATCTAAGAATTTGGCGTGCAATTCAACTTGTAATAGGTAATTACACAGTTAACTCGGTAAAAAGGTAGTTAAAGACTTTGAATAAAAAGCTTGATTTTCTTCCTGATTCAACTTCTTTCCTTTTCATACCAGCTCCCTTTCCGGTTGCAATTTAATAAACGTGACCTTAATTATAGATGAATCAAAGCTTGCCCTTTACATGATCTAGTTTGGGGTCCCTTCGTCTATAGAGAAAATAAATTTTGTTTTTGAGCATTTATTTGAAGATTCTATAAATGCCTAATACTAATAAGTATGGATAATGAAATGAGCATTTATTTGTAATATGCTGATTTCTATAGATTTTTCTCAAGGTGCAGGTAGTTCCACATTTCCAAATAGAATTTCCCTTACTTACCGACAAACGCCAATTGTGATACCGGATACTGGCTTGGATGTATGCCCGTTGGCATTCAATGAGTACACCCCCTGCCACAACGTTTCTTATGTGAAACAGTTGCAAAACTTAGATCTTTCTAGAAGAGAAGAGCTTGAGAGGCATTGTCCTCCACTTGAAAACCGCTTGTTTTGCTTGGTCCCGCCACCGAATGATTATAAGATACCAATAAGATGGCCAACCAGCAGGGATTATGTCTGGCGAAGCAATGTGAATCATACACATCTAGCTGAAGCCAAAGGTGGGCAAAATTGGGTGCATGGGCAGGGTCAACTATGGTGGTTCCCTGGTGGTGGTACCCATTTCAAACATGGTGCACCTGAATATATCCAGAGGTAACTGTTGATGATTCTTTTCCCCACTAATCTTTTCTAGTTTATGTGCTATTCTCTTTAAGCGAATTCTTGAATCTCGAAAAATTTGGATTCATTTTTCTATGTATATTCTACAATCTTCCATTGTTGGAGAAGACAGTAGTGAGCCTCAGAATGACAATAAGTAGATACCACCATATTCCTGTAGTAGTTTACAAGTTATTGTGATGTAAGCAACTTTTCATGTGCTTCAGACATTTTTCCCAAAGCTAGGCTTTTTACCTGAAAGCTAGGCTGACTCACCGACCATCGAGTCAGCTTTGTTACATAGTTTCTGGGGAAGTTGGCATTGTTTCTAAGCGTTTGCACAAAGTAAAGAAGTATTAAGAAGCAAAACGGTGCAAAAGGAGTAGAGCAATGCCTAATCAGAGACCAATTTTTATTAGGCCTCAGCGCATACTCTTTTAAATGTTGAAGATCATGTGGTCATTTTAGTTCCATAAGTGTCCAAGATTTCACATCTAAATCATATAATGTATATTCTTTATAAATGTTTGTTGTTTAGAAGATATACATGTGTGTGCTTTTAGTGTATATGTCATTAACAATGTTTTTCTGACGTCAGGTTGGGAGATATGATAACAAATGGAACAGGCAATTTGCGTTCTGCAGGGGTGCTTCAAGTTCTGGATGTTGGGTGTGGCGTTGCTAGCTTTTCAGCTTATCTTCTTCCCTTAGATATACAAACAATGTCTTTTGCTCCCAAGGATGGCCATGAGAATCAGATTCAGTTTGCTTTAGAGCGAGGAATTGGTGCAATGATTTCTGCCATAGCCACAAAACAGCTTCCATATCCTTCTAGTTCTTTTGAGATGGTTCACTGTTCAAGATGCCGCGTCGATTGGCATGAGAATGGTATATTGTCATTACTAACTTTGTTATATATATATATATTTATGGAATGTTATCAAGTAACTGTAAAATAACTAGTTTTATAGACATTCTATTATATAATAATCTTAATATCTTGCTCAAGCATTTTATACATTTTTACTAAAAGAAGTGGCACTAGTCAGATACTTAAGGCTACATGATCGGGGTATCAGCGATATGATATGCTGTTTAAAATGTTTATCTTATGGCTTTATTTACTTTTCAGGACGTTCATCTTTCCTATACCCTTCAATGAAGCAGTATTTCTTCATTCTTTATATATTTTTTGGTATTATGGATAAATTTTCTACCTTATGTAACAATGCTGGTTGTAAAGGGAATTTTTTCATTAACGTAATTTAACTCTTGCTACTGAGTACCTTTTGCAATATTTAGTAGTTCTTGACTACTTTTTCTTTGTTGTGAGCAGACGGCATTCTATTGAAAGAAGTCGACCGTCTTCTGCGACCTAATGGATACTTTGTTTATTCTGCTCCACCTGCTTATCGAAAAGACAAAACTTATCCAATGATTTGGGAGAAAGTGGTGAACATAACGTCGGCAATGTGCTGGAAACTCATTGCTCGACAAGTTCAGACGGCAATCTGGAAAAAGGAAGATGATCAGTCATGCCTTCTGCGTAATGCTGATCAAAGTATTATAGATGTGTGTGATGCCGTGGACGATTCTAGTCCATCGTGGAATACACCACTGAGGAACTGTGTGCAAGTAAGGGGTGGACAAACGCATTTTCAGGAACTTCCTTCTAGACCGGAGCGTCTATCAGTGTACTCAGAAAGTCTCAGCAAAATAGGTCTCTCTTTGATGCTTTTATTTGGGTTCCCAAAGCACATCACCCTTATTAAAAAAAAAAAAAAAAAAACGATTAGATTAATGAATCAGAAGTTAGGATAAATGAACAAGTGTTTTATTTGCCTTTTTGCAGAAGAAAGTATTGGCCTTCACCAAGCACATATTTCTGAGTTTCATGATTGGCATATTTTAACATGTCTTTCTGAGAGGAAAGACAATATGGCCAACTTATTTCTTCTGAAATTTGAAGATTATTGTTAAATTGCCGTAAAGAAGAAATAAACTGATGTTCATTCGTTAAAGATAGTAAATGAGGAAGAATAGAAATCCAGATAAACTTAAATGCTGTAAAATACACATACAATTTTATTTCAAACATATGGCAGAATCTATCTGGTAAGATTACTGATGTATTTGCTTATGACAGGTATTGGTCCCGAGGAATTCACTTCAGATACTACCTTTTGGCAAGAGCAAATTGGTCACTACTGGATGCTTCTGAATGTCAATGACACAGAAATACGAAATGTAATGGACATGAATGCTTTTTGTGGTGGATTTGCTGTAGCCTTGAGCACGTCACCTGTTTGGGTTATGAGTATAGTTCCTGTGAGCATGAAGAATACCCTGTCTGCCATTTACGACCGTGGTCTGGTTGGTGCTTTTCATGACTGGTATGTTATCATCAAGCTACTAAACATCGCTGCTAGATGATAAAATTTACTAGAAGAATGCGTTGCTCTTGCTACGGAAAACTACTGAAAATATTGATTTTCACCTTCTTTTCAATATCACTAGATAAACTTACACGTTCACAAGGGAATTTGGTAAGTTTTTTTGCATCTTGCGCTTGATATATTTTTTTAACTTCAGGTGTGAACCATTTTCAAATTATCCAAGAACTTACGATCTGTTGCATGCCAATCATCTCTTCTCTCACTATAAGAACCGGGGAGACGGTTGCTTAATGGAGGATATCATGCTGGAGATGGACCGTATAGCACGGCCTCAGGTAATTATTTAAAGAAGCGTCGTCTCTCTTTGATTATAGCCATTGAAAAAACGAAAAAGAATGAGACATTACAAGCTGTTTAAATGAAAACTTGGATCTCTATAAGTTCTGATGTGCTCCGGAGCAATGGCTTAGTACAACAATGAGGATTCTTTGTCTAGGTAGAGAATATCGACCATAATTTTCTTCTTTTAGACTTTGTCATACAATTTTCTTTCACGGTATAGGTAGTTATTGTATAAGTTAAAGCTGTGGGCGAGCCAAAGGTGTGTTTAAATTTTAGTGATAGAGATTTATTCATCTGATATAAGAAAAATTCTAGGTAGGGAACATTGTTTTGCTCGCAAGTTTTATTATCCGCTCGATTAAATTTAAACCTGATTAATGATTGTGCACATTAAAAATAGTGCACCGTAGATAGAATAGTACTCCATTCATAAATTAGACTCTTAAAATTCCATTAAACAACTTAAAAAAACTTTCTCTGCCAGTACGTCCAAACAACGTGCCTATTGTAGAAGTTTCCCTTACATAAGTATACTAACTTTGATTCCTGTTGGCAATAAAATTCAAAAAAAACTCTCTCTGCCAGTACGTCCAAACAACGTGCATATTGTAGAATTTTCCCTTACATAAGTATACTAACTTTGATTCCTGTTGGCAATAAAATTCTACTGTTCGTTAAGAAACCAAAGATTTTTCATTGATGTGGATTCAACGTCTTAATTTACATTCTCTCAGCCATTGCTGTCACTTCTTCATGTAGTCAAGTAGTACCCTTTTTCGACAGTCAGCAAATTCTCGATATCATTTCATATATAGTCCTTAGAAAAGAAAAGAAGCAAGTTCTATTCATTGTGGTCCAGTTAAATGTATTCTAAATATATTGAAGTGTTTTTATTTTGTAAAACCAGCAGTTAATGTGACGTCTCACATTTCACATCCCTGAGCTGAACGGTTACTACATTGCAGAAATAATTAAGAAATTTGTTTTTCAGGGTTTTATCATAGTTCGAGATGATGAATCCATCACTTCAAGAATCAAAGATCTTGCTCCCAAATTTCTATGGGAGGTTGAATCACACTTGCTGGAGGATAAAGAAAAGAAGAAAGAATCTGTGTTAATATGTCGAAAGAAGTTCTGGGCAATCGTCTGAAATCGAGCACCATGAGAGCTTTGCCACTAGATAAGTTTTCTCTTCTAGCTGTGCGGTTCTTGAAAACTAAATTCGTCTCTCCCCTTGTATCTTCTTATGCTTTTTGTTGTTATAGGATGAAATGAGCAAAGTGTCATTATAACATCTTGTGTAAATGTGTAGAAACATTTTCATCTATTTTTTTTTTAATTATTTTTGACTTGAATAATGTATGTTCACCAATATGAAGAATACAAGTTTTGACTACCTTACAAGTTTACATGTGTTTCATTTTCTTCTTTCTGCCTTCTCCTGGTATTGGGGGATTTTTATTTCAGTGGCTTTATCAGCTTTTGATAAAATTTCCTATTGCATTTGTTTCTTTTTCCTGCCTGTGGGAGCCTCATTGATTTTGATTTCTGGTTACGGATAACTTTTTGCTAACAATATTGTTTGAAAAACTAAGTGGGACGAATACAAGAAACAAACGTCATCTAATAGATTTTGTACCTCTTCATTCACATCATCACTATTTCTTAAATTTTTATTTATTTTGACACTTTCCCTTATTTTTTAAGTTTTTAAAAAACCAAAATGCCCCCCCTGATCTCTAGCAACGGAGTCGAGATTTTTTGTCAGTGGGGCTTAATTTTTTTTCCTTGATAAATTGATTTTTTATTTTATTTTTCTGTTGTTAATTTAATGAAATATTTGTAAATATTGGTGGGCCTAAAATGGTTTTCCTTAATTTTTGAGGGGCTAATTAAAATTTATATAGATTTGAGGGGGAATATAATGGTTTTTCTCTATTTTTGTGGGGGCTAATATGTTAATTTTTACAACATGTTAGCTTTTAAAAGGACAAATGTGAGCAGGGGCTTCCGCCTCGCTCACCATTACCAAACTCCATCCATGTGAATCCCTCTCATGTCTTCTTAGGGCTGTTCACAGCCTGATCTGGTCCTAAACCGTTAGATTTTTAAAACTGTCAACAGTTTTAAAAAATTCAAACCCAACCAGGTTATTTGTAAAGTGGGACGAGACTGGACCGTTTGAAAGCATTACGGTCCGCTTAAACCGCGGTTTGGACCCTTAGTGTGTGTGTTTTTAGTAACACAGCAACAAGAAAAAAAAAAAAAAAAAAAAAAAAAAAAAAAAAAAAATTTCTCACAAGACGATTTCACTCTTCCTTGAGAAATACGGGTTGAATATGTCATCATCTCTTGAGACGTGTTTGCTGTTGTATGCAAAGTATGAGAGAAGCTTTTTCAATATTCAATTCCTCTCAAGTTTGCAATCCATACACGTATCAAGAAAAAAAAAAATAGTTTGCAATCCTTATATGATTAACTAAGTAGATAAATGTGCAAGAAAATGGCATCAAAATATTACCAAAAGAATCCACACTTTTTACAGACACCAGAAAGCGGAAATGTTTGCTCTGATTTAGCTACCCCCTCCATTGACAGATCAATAGAAACAGATATCATAAAATACATACACTAATGTCTCTTTTCACTATGTTTTACACAAATTTTCAAGAAACAAGCAGTGTAAATTTCAAGAACTCACTCTTTCAGGGTATACAAAATGTTCAATTTCTTAAGAGCCTAAGATAAGTTCAATTTCAAAGTGCTCAAGGTTTTTTTTTTTTTTTTTTTAAATATATATATATATATATATAACGGTCCGGTTCGGTTTAGACTATAAGAGGAAATAGTTTAGTCCGATTTTAAACCGTTTATAAACAATACTGACGTGGAACCGGCGGTTTGAACCGGACTTTCCACATCCCTATGTCCTCTCTCTCTCTTCTCAACCACCGGCAACATGCTGCCGTACGTAGAGGCTTATAGTTGGACTTTCAGTACCCAGCACCAATGCGTGATCGGCGGTAACTCACCGGTGTTGGCACGCCCCGTGACTGGCAGCGCGGGTGAAGCTGCGACATACAAACTAGTTGGGGTGCACACCCCTATCGAGATTTTTAAATTTTTGTTTTTATATGTAAAATTTTTGTAAAACTTCAGTTTTGCCTACATTGACAAGAACAATTTTAATTCTTCCCTCCAATAAATAATACTTTTATTAATCACTATGCTCCCATCAACAAAATTAAATTGTCTCTTTACTTTTAGCAAAATACGTTCCCGTTGAAAAGATTTTCGGACTTCGCCGCTAATTGGTGGTCATCTACCAGGCGACTTTGGTGATAAGACTGGCATCGGTAGTTCGTGTTTTAGCGGTTACCCACCCGTGTTCTACTGTTGGTATCCCGGTGTAATACCGTCGGGCATTTGTTATTTGAATATCGACACTCCACAGAAGTTTTTCGTTTTTGTTTTTGTTTTTTTGGTAATGGACACTCCACAGAAGTTGATTCCTCTAGTTCGCCGCAACCAGTTGTAGAATCTGCATAAAGCCCACGTAATGTCTGAACCTGGCCCAAAAATACAACAGTCTATTTAGCATGGAAATGATAAAATTGGTGAATTCACCTGGTGTATTATTTTAAGATTTTCTCTTTTATTTTTTTATTAATATATTTTTAACTAATATTCTTATTTAATTAAAGGGTGTTAATTAAGAGTAAGAGTAAAATTTTAAGACTCGTCATTTTAAGGGGTATTTGTCTCATTTTCCATAGAAATTAGCGAAATTAATGTTCAAATTAATGTTCAAGAAACTGTTGGCTACGCCCGGAAAGAAAAGAAATACAGAAGAAGCTGTTGAGCTGCCAGTTAAATAGAAGACTCTGACCAGACAAAAGGAAAAAGTGGGGGAAAAAGTAGAGCCTGATTATTGGTTTTCTCCTGTTTGCTGATGCATGGTTTAATTTTATAAGTCAAAAACATCCCTAAATGCATTCCTTCATATGATAATATTTTATTTCAACATTCCATATTGGGTTTAGTACTAATTAATCTATGATGATGATGATTTTAAATGTTGGCCAAAAAGACAATGTTGTCTCCGAAAAAAATGTAATAATATAAAATGTAATCCCAACCACTTTGCATTCATTTGAATATAATATTGGCTACCGGCAAATCTTTCACATGCACTCACTTTTCATTTGGAAATAAAAACATAAAACTCTTTTAAAGCTTTGTCAAAATATCAACTTATTTATTCTAAAGCTTGGTTTCGATATCTACAGGCACATAGAGCAAAATATATGTACTAGAACAAAATAAAGGGAGTTTTTCGTAATCCGTCTTACCAGTAGTATCAATTTTTTTACTGTTTAATCTGGTGAAAATCACATTAAATTAAAAAAAATACGTAGAATAGACAGATTTTGATACAGATATAATAGCTAAAAAGTGACTACCAATAGTCTATTTTTACAGGAACTACCTAAGAAATTCTAAAAAAAAAAGTATGTTCTTTTTCAAGAGACACTTTTGGTTAATGACTTCATAATAAGTGTTAAATATAACAATTATCGAAATAATTATTAGATTAATACAAAGTTTGTAATACGATAATTAACATGTAGGACTCATATTTAACATGAGAGCGCGTTTAATTTAAACAGTGATTATCATTTTCAACGAGGATGTGTAATGTCACCCGCACCATCACCTTAATGTTATGAATGCAGTAGAAACACTAAGGCCGTACTAGTACAAATAACAAAAGGTACTAATAATGAGAATCTTTATTGTTTTCTTGAGAGAATTAAAATATTTTGCCATTTAAGTCATGACAAATGCTAAATAAGCAATGATAGACAACTATCTTTCCACATAGTTATAAGTTGTCATACGACCATAACAATGTGTAGGTTTTCATGTAATACCCTACATATACATATACATATACATATACATATATATAGGTCTCATCTTTGACTTGAGATCATGTAAAACTATTTGCAAAACAGCGATATATACTTTTTTTTTTAAGGCCAAAAAAGAAAAAAACAATTAGTATCAAGACTTATTATAACATCCCAACTAGATTAGTAATTTCGGTCACGTTCATTTCACCGATTCGAGTTTTGTTACAGTAAAAAACTCTCAGAAATAATCACATCTAACTTTTTTATTACAGTAAAAAAACTCTCAGAAACAGTCACATCTAATTTTTTTACTACAGTAAAAAGTTCTCACATAAAATCATATCTCAACTTAAATTAAAAATTCAAATAAGCGAACTAAATTAGTTCGCAGTTGCGCCTCTCTCTAGCTACTTGCATAATAGTAATATATACAAATCAACTAGTGATTAATATCATTATTCAGGATTGCGGTGCATATTGTATAAGGCTGTCATATAACATTGGAGAACTTTTAGTCAGCAAACTGTCGGACCTATTTCATAAGCGCCGTCCGATTTAGGTCGTAGTATTGAGATTACGGTGAGGTACTTCCACGGTAGAATTCCCCATTTTGTAACAATTAAGTGAAAGGAAAAATCCACTAATAAGAATCTTGACATGACAAGACAACCCCACGCTTGTCTCCCTTGCACCCCACTTCTGCGCCATTATTTCAGTTTGCAGTGCTCTCTCTGCTTCTCTTATGCCCTTTTGTTTGACCCTTATTATACTTGCTTGCCTAAGGCCTTCTCTCTCTCTCTCTCCATCTCTCTCTCTCTCTCTCTCTCTCTCTCTCTCTCTCTCTCTCTCTCTCTCTCTCTCTCTCTCTCTCTCTCTCTCTCTCTCTCTCTCTCTCTCTCTCTCTCTCTCTCTCTCTCTCTCCCTGCCTTTTACACCTTTCTCTGCTCTTATCTGCTTTTTTTAAGGTTTGCACTTTGCCTCTTGCAATATTGCTTCCAATATTGGGCTCGGTTTATATATATATATATATATATATATGCCTCCATTTTGCATGGGCAAAAAACCTATATAATATGTCCCTTTACCCTCACTCATTCTTCATTAGTTTGGGCCACTTTTCTGCACCCAATATTAAAGATTTAAAGTACACTACAGGAACAGATTTTATATTAGGTGTGGAAGAAATAATTGAGCTCATATGACATATAAATGGGTAATGTATCATGTGTACGGTCCAATATTTAATTTTATCGTCCAAGAGAATTGAAGGCCATATTTTTATTTTTTTTTCTCTTTTGCTGCAAGTGGGATCAGATTTTGAGTGCTTGGATATCTAGTTATACTTGGTTAAAACACGAAGGATAAATGTTTAATCCAACATATATATATATATATATTTGTAAATACATATATGTATGTATAAGTTATAATTACTAATGAATGTTGTCCTGCTTTGAA